CACCTAGTAATATGACACATAGGTTTAACTAATTGCAATAACGTATAACCACTATATCTTAATTAAATCGTATTCCGCCTTATGATAAACTGCATACTTGCAACTAACTTGTATACCCAATCAGCCGGCAAGTATAGATATAAATAAATAGTCTGCCGCAGATCAGAACATTGAGTCTAAAGCATTTCTCTTACGAATACACTCATGTTTAACGACCTGTTCTTAGCCATCTGTCCAAAATTCATATAATTATCACTCATGTATTGAAATTTTGTTTTAATAACCATTCATGTGTATTAGTAGTATTAATAAATTCTATCACGGTCAAGTAAAAATGAGGTTGAGAAAATCTCCCCGTAACTAAATAAACCGTATCAAGCTAACTGGAACACTAGTTGGAATTCTTCTCCACGGTATACTTTTATTCCTTCAGTTAGCCTACGAATACAGATGCATTTGAAATTCAACTCATATGGACAACTTACCGGCATAATCGTTATTTGATTTCATAAGTTAGACTAAAAGTAGTACTAATATTAACATTTCTACAGTATTCATTATTTTAATATTTCTAAACACAAAATACTTCCCACTTATACGTTAAGTTATTAACCAACGGCTATTAACACGCATCGTTTTATTAGTATTATCATTATTAATATTGTAATCCCTTTTTTTATAGCTCAAATAATCACTAAAATTTTCATTTTAAGAGTGTTAAGCATGAAGGCAAATATTTTAAAATTATTACATGTATTCCCCGACCAGATGCTGCCGTCTTCTTTTTGATTTGTCTTTCAGCCTGTCATCACCCGGAGGATTCTTACTAGTCTTGACAACCTTCGGCACACTACAGTCCCATCCAATTTGGTATCGAACCAACACCACGTTGATTCTGGTGGGAGAGTAGTGTAGTGGGATTGGACCATAACCACACAATCCTCAAAGCTGAATACGAGATTACTCGGAAAATAGGTATTCAGCATTTAACGCGAAGAAATACCTAACGATGGAGAAGGCGCGAATAATGAATTGAACGAATTAGAATTGATCGAATGGCATGGTTCGGCCATGCAGGCGTGGTCTTTGCTGAATGTTACCTTATATCTTCTATTCATATTAAATACATTATTCTTTCTCTAGCTTAACTTTGTTCTACATCATGTATTGCTAATTGATACGATACAGTGAGTTGGTGTAGTCGATGGTGTGACTTCCACGTAAGATCTTATAGATTAGACAGTCATATCATGACAAATCTACAAATTTAGGATTAGGTCTATTATTAGAGCAGTACTAATATCATAGTAGACCATAATTCTACATATTAATGATTACGTCACATCCCATTGTATTTACCAATTTACATGTTTGTGTGGACACACATACATAGGGAGGAGTAATCGAACAATGCAATCAAGGGTCAATGAACATGTGCCCAGATGGCTTCAAAATCAGTGTGTGTCAAATGACCGGGTCAATGTAGGAGGTAGAAAACCAAGTTCATCGATAGCAAAACACATAATTGTGTCGGGGCACAAGATTGACATTAATACAGCATTTAGAATGTTGTATAGAAATTGTCAAAGTCGAATTCTTAAGTTTATTCAAGCCTTAGCTATTCGTAAATTTAAACCCCCCTTATGTGTACAAAAACAATTTGTCGTAACCTTGAATTTACCTTGGTAATCCTTAAGTCATTTTATGGCCTAGGATAACACGACAATTTCTTATTCTTTCTCTCCCCTTAGTTATTTTAATTGTACTTTTATTCGTTTGACCTTTATTAATTTCATATAAAAATGCCTTGACAAGTATATGTGTGATCAGATTGTTCGAAATGTATAGCGCAAATACATCACATTTTTCAGATCAGCTACGTCTTCTCATTGTTTTATCGAAATTTATAAAAGGGACTAATTGCTTTAAAATCACTTTAGTCTAATATAAAAATTAGTACTTTGTGGACGAATATTTTTGAATTTTATCAGTGATATAACCAGGTAACTCGAATTCAATAAGGCTACAAATTTCTGATAATTTAGAATTACCCAAAACAATAAAACCTATTTTCCACTGTCTAGTCCTCATTCAACACTATAACTTGTTAAACATAATGGTTTGAGGATATAATCATAAAGCACTTTCATGACTTGAAGACCACGTAATATGATTGATAAAATTGATGAAACTATTTAAATAATCGGTTAACAAATTGGTTTGTAATTATCACTAAGTAGTGTTTCTCGCTTTTTATTTTCATTTATTACAGATTTTTTCAGTTTGCTTGTCTATCAGTTGCTTATTCAGCAAAAATCTTAAAACACTGTCAGTCTAACTAGAGGTTTGGCGACACAATCGCGTATGCAGCTCATCAGTATAAGCAGTGGACCATATCTCTTGCAAACTGAAAAAAACTGTCGAAATTACACCAACGTTGAGTAAGATTCAAGCCATTAACATAGAAATGAGTTGGGAACGTACTCTCTTCAGTTACGACATAGTTTTCACTGATAATCACATGAATATCAACCACCGTTTGTCATCTTGTAAAGATTTATTTAGCCGGAAGCGTCGTGCAACATCACAACACGTATGTTTAGGGCAAACATGCTTTTCGATTTCAACAATTTGTAATCACTATATTTGTGACTAACTTATACGAAACTCGATACTTACAATTAACTTGTTTGCACAATCAGCCAGTAGATATGAATAAAATGAAAATGAGTCTAGAGCATGTCATTCACGAATACACTCCTGCCTAACGAATTTCTTTTAACTATCTTTCCAAAATGCACACAATCATCACTATTTTCACGTAAAGGAATTTTCGATAACCATTCAAATGTATCAGTAGTATTACTAAATTCTGTCACGTTTAAGTAATAATGAGGTCAAGAAGATCTACCAGTAACTAAATAAACCATATCAATAACTAGAACACTACTTGAAATTCGTCTTTTCCACGGTTAAACTTTCGTTCTTTCAGTTAGCTTACTAATGCAGATGGAATCGGAGATCAACTCAAATGAACCGTATACCGGCTTAAACGTCAAACGACTTTGTAGTTTAAGCCGGAACTAATACCAATATTAAAATTAAGTGACTTTGAAAAATACTAGCCAATCGACAAACAGTTAGTATGAAGTAAAAATATGTTATTCAAAACCAAGGAAATAAAGGTGATTCACTTCTTATACGTGGTTCAAAAACTTGTCACGGTTAGAAAGAGGTTCAAAGGTTCTAAAATCGTAATGCATGCAGTAGAGAAAATCATTCATACGGGTACCGAATAGTCGGCCTCTGGAGCCATGGTAAAGCTTCGAAAACTCATTCAGCCTCAGCCACTTAGCTTCAGTATTGTTTATGTCCACTCCGGTTGTTCAGTACAAAAAGTGCCACTTGTAGATAATGACACGATGCACATAACCAAGCCTATGTAGGAGTCTGAATGCTCTTCAAACATCCGTATATATTGTAGTACCTAGCTGCAGCCAATGTTACTGATACTCTTATTCTCCAGTTCGCAATAATCTTCATAATTTGCCTTGGTTAGGGATTGTACAAAGGTTTTTCATTACGAACTGACATCAGCTATAATGCCAGAAATTTATTTAGCCAAATAGATAAAAGGCTTCTGCGTTAAAATCTGAGAACTAATATCTTATATCTGATTGATTCGTCCACAAATTATAGTCTCGCCGTTTTATTTGTTATAGCCGTTCAATTATCACATTTTGTACAAAATTCCCTGTGAACCAAATGTACGTTAGCATTAGGTACTGAAGTTGGCGCCGTACCCTTGAAATCTCTAATACGTTTCTGATTAGCTCGTCCATGAATTAGTCTAGCCCGAAATTTCTACAATACTGATTGTTGTCCTATTTCTCTGCACAGATTACTTATACTGCCTACAACTTGAATCACTACCAAATGTCATTATTATGCACTTTAATATGACTTGTTCAAATATCTCTATACTAAATGGTTCTTCCATGTAAGACCTTATAGAATGTGCAATAAAATGACAAGTCTACAGTCTTAATATTAGGTCTATTACTCATAACGAAGTAGAAAATAATTCTACAGGATCTAAGAACCCTTCAGTAACTCGTGTGATAAATACCCCAATTTTCTGAACATAAAAATATTGAGTAGAGGGTTATTCATATGTTTCGCCCTTTTCTCTCGTGTTCAAGTTGTCGTGCAGATTTAGCATGGGGTTATTAAAAGAACTTATGAAACCTATTCAAGCATTCAGTCAGAGGATTTGTAAGATCCATGAAGTGTGGTCAGTGGATATCAACTTACAAGGGTATATACATCTCAGCGGTGATCTTGCAATCACGTAAACCACTTTAAACATACCTAAGCATCCCCAAAAATGCATATAAAGGCTCAGTATCAACACAAATCCTAAAGACCGCACTTAAAAGTTGTAGATGCAGCATGGCGTGCTGGATCGTTGGTACACCTTATATTATCTACGAGTGACCAGATTCTGGAATTTGTTGCCGGCTGAACTTGTCCAAGCTACTTCTCTAGGTTTTTTTATTAGGGACCTTAACATATTCTTAAGGATTTAGGGTAATATTAAAGATAATTTACCAGATTTCTTACTGGTTAATTTACACAGATTTCTTCCTTGAGGTTTCGGTAATCTACCACTACCAGTTAGGGGATCTTATTATACAAAGGTTGCTTCCGTTTCATCCATCACCATTTGAACTTGAGCAGTGTCGGGATATAGATATGTTTGACCAAGCTCTCTTGTCTAGAAGTATCCGTTAAAAGTAGAAAATCAGCATCAATCTCGAGAGTTTATAAAGGCGTCTACTTTGAAAAGCTATATACAGTCATGATTCCAGAAACGACTCCCAATATTTATGACATCGCCTAATTTTTTCGTATTATCTACAACTGAATAAATTATGAAAAAGCACAAAGTACGTGCAGTTCAAAAACCTAAATTCAAAAAACTGTGTTTCGTGTCTAGATGTTCCTGAGTGTTTGTTTTGTCACCGCGTTAGCGAAAAGAAAATTCCGCGGGTCACTTGACTGTTTGGGAATAATGTCGGGCAATGTTGGGATGGAACAGCTTATCCCGTTGGTTAACCGGCTGCAAGATGCATTTTCCTCATTAGGAGTCCCACTTAATTTGGATCTGCCTCAGATCGCTGTAGTCGGAAGCCAAAGCGCAGGAAAAAGCAGTGTTTTGGAAAATTTCGTCGGTCGGTAGGGCTGTTGTGTTACCTATTTTATTGTCTCAATTAGAGACTTTCTCCCTCGTGGAAGTGGGATTGTCACACGCCGTCCTTTGGTCTTGCAACTAATCAATTCGCGCAACGGTAAGCTAAGGTTATAGTTTGATCTCATTATTAGAATATGCTGAATTCCTACACTGTAAAAACAAGCAGTTTACAGACTTTGATGAGGTTCGCAAGGAAATAGAAGCGGAGACAGACAGGCTAACTGGAAGTAACAAAGGAATTTCTAACACCCCTATTAATCTTCGTGTTTACTCTCCCAATGGTAAGCCCGGAATCTAAATTTTATGTATCCCCGTATTGTTTTGTGATAATCATGTCGATAACGGTTTTTCTTAAGCTCTTTTGATTACAACGCACTTGATCTATTCAAGACTAACTCCCTGACACTACTCATTTGAACAACAGTGAAAACTCAATACAGTACGTTGTATTATAAAGTGTTTATGAACTTAAGGAAGAACAAATGTGGTTTTCAGGAATTGTTTGGAATAGTGGTAAGGTGCCTAGATTAGGTACTTGTTAGTCCGCGATTAAAAATGACCATCTAACAGGTTTAAATACCGAATACTCATTTCCAAAATAAATATTATTTAGGATGCTCGAACAGTAGTTGTTGATTTTGTTGTCCAAATAAGTTCCGTAGTCTGCTCACTACCAGTTCCATACCAGGTGAATTTATCATTCGAATGGTTTTATACTTGGATACCAAAGTCACCAATATGTGCAATGTCTTATTTTGTGTTGGGGTTTGAAAGCGTATCGGTTTAGAAAACTATTAATTTAAAAGTTGATGTTGTACGTAAGTACGTTTCACACGTAATGTAAACAAGTTACATACATCAAATCATTATAAGGACCTGGCCTTGCCAATTAAGTCGATAACCCCAAGCTCAATAGGAGAAAGTATCGACCTTGTTCATATTTAGATTCTATTGATGTTCATACTTCCCAATCAATTTATTGGTGAGACTATAAATCATGGACGAACCAATCAGATACAAAACAACGCCTCGGATTTTGGCGCAAAATTCACCTATTCATTTGACTAAATAGGATTTCGGCATTATAGCTGATGTGAGCTCGTGATGAAAACCCTAAATCTAATTCCTAACCTTAACCATCAACTGCAATTCATAATTTCACTTCCTTACGCCGGTTTATAACCCTCATTTGGTCCTAGCTATTGGGTGAACATTCTGAAAGTCACTTTGGCGTTATTTGAAGGCAGTCCATGAATTATAGTCCCACCGGTTGACTAACCGATCGAGTTAATCCTGTTCAAAATTCAGTATTATTTTCACCTGGATTTTTTATTGTCTGTGCATTGTCAGTTGTGTTCTCCATCTTATGTTCATTAAATTTATCGGGAATTAAAGTACCTTGTATTATTAAGGAAGCCAGAATGTTAAATAGGCAACGTAGGATCAGATGTCCCAATGCCAGACAATGTACGTACATTAAATTGATGTTTTCGTTTGCGCTAAGTAAGACTTAATCCAAAAAGTTTTTGTGCTGTTTATTATTATTACTATTATATTAACACAAACATTAGCACTAGTAGGCACCAAATAAATATGCGCCACGTAAATCATTCGATTTATGTGAGGGATAGGATACTACCTGGGTGCCCAAACCGAAGCAGGTAGTTTTCTTAGGAGGCCACACCCGGAGCCTTTGACCTAAAGGTCTGATCAACAAGGCCGTCGAGCAACGTCACGAGATGCGATCTCATGGTAGCCTGTGACCGACGGTTAGTTCGTACGCCATTTTTCCCCTCATGATCCTGGAGCCCATTTACACCATTGGTTTTAAATCAGGGTTTCCCAACTACCCTAGGTGTACTCTCCATGTCCACCGACCCGGTTAAAGCGATGGAGTTTCGCATTTCGTCCTCTCAATTTCGTAAACAACACTCCCTCCACGAGAAGTCAGTGAGTAAAACTTTTCTGGTAGAAGCTATATACGCGTGACCATATGAGAGCATTTCGAGAGGAATAGCTGACTTTCCCTAATCTTAGCTTACCAGGGCATTTGGGGGCTTATTATGTGCTGTTTGAACATGGCGCCTTTCTTAGTATTTCTTGCACTTCAGCTTGTCGTGTAAGGTCTCACACAGCTCAACAAAATGACCGTCTGAATAATTGCTGTTAGTCTTCAGCTTTATCTGAGTTGCACTTATCATGTGGTCTTGTACTAACCAAACGCTCAGATAACAGGGGTTATTTTTTAACAAATAACTTAGTAGTTGAGTTTCCATATTAATGTAGGTTGATTAGTATGTTCGGTTGTAGTGAATTTTCAGTTTATCAGCCTATTATTCAGTTTATTTTACTAGCTATTCATTAGCTATTCATTTTAATTCATTACTGAGCAGCAGTATGACAACTTTCATTACTATTAATATTTTTGTCAACTATTGTGAGTTCAACAACATGAGGTTTCCTGAAGTTCTAGTTCCAACTGTTTATAGATGTCTTTTATTTCATTTTGTTCCATATGTAACATTAGTTCTTTCTGACCAAAAACGTGTTTCATTATAGATTCATTTTGCTTTGCAATAACGTAACTTGTCCCACAGTCCATTTCATGCTCATCACACCAACTAGATTCTTCGTGTGCCTGTGTCGTTTTAAGAAAAAACAATCAAACTTCATTGAGTTTTCGAAATTTCCCTTCCATTTTCTAGTTGAGTGGCCAAGTAATATTTGGAATAAACAGAAATTTACATTACTATCCGTTTGTACAGATAGCTGTTATCTGTTTTCTGAAAAGAAAAAACCTCTGACACAATCGTCAGTCGGAGAATTCAGCATTCATTTAGAGTAGTCATTTGTGTTGTTTGTGAATATCGGTATATTGATTGGTTTCAGTTCTGTCGTCACTTTTACGTAGATAATGATCTGCTACTGACCTGTAACAGCGTTTATGAAACCGGCTATTCCATGACCAAAGACAGGAAAGGTCTTTTAGCAGAGACGAGCTGTTGAGTCGCAAAGACAAAGAATGGCGACAAGACTGAAAATAAAGTTTCACAAAATCCATTAGTTCGTAACAAGTTGAATGGAAGTATCATTTGAATGGATAATAAGACTAAAGAAACAAGCTGTTTTCCCCATAATTATTAACTGTTATATTTGTAAGTGAATTAGCATACTGCCCAGGATCTCAGACAGAACTAGTTAGTTTTCTTGGAGGGCCAATACCCGAGAGCTTGACGTATAGATCTAATCCACAAGATTAGAGCGAAGTCATTAATTCACTCTCATAGTAGTCCGTGATAAAAATTAGTTTCGTATCCTATCCGCTCCATTGTGATATTGAAGACCATATACACCATTTGTTTGAAATCAGGGTTTCCCAAATCCCCTAGGTAGATCCTCCGTTTTCAACAACCCAATCAAAGCTCCGAACGTTTTCGTGAAAACTTCTTGCTGCGTAAAGGGAGTGAAACTTTCTTAGCAGAGGGTGTAAACCCATGGCGTATCACAGCATGTCAAGAAGTGAGCACTCTCCTTACCCTCAGCTGTACCAGGGCGATTGGCAGCTTGTATTTTTTCCATTTATTCTTTTGTTCCTGCTTTTGATCAAGTATTATTAATAACAAACATTTAATAGGTCTCTCCTTATGAGGATTTTCACTGTATAGCTTTGAAAATTCAATTACAGAAGAGAAATCTTTATTTTAACGTTCGTATTCTACACTACTTGTACAGAATCTAGATTATAGCATTTTTTCGCTGTAAAACATGGGGAAAGTTCATTATATACATGCCTTTAATTTTGAGCACATGAATTGGTTTTTGGTTATTGAATTTTAAGTGTATTCTCGACGTAGTTTACATTCAGCCTGTTGTGTTCCATCTGTTTGCTTCTCAGAATCAAAAATAACACGTTTGATTATTCGAAGGAAGTCTTTCCACTTACTGTCGTGTGATATATCTGTACTAGTCTTATGTGTGACTCTAACGATCTATTGATAATTGCTTAAAATACCTACGGGGTATTGCACATACGATGTCCAACTATTGTATCTTAGTTATTCCTAACTTATTTCTAAATAGATACTTCGGTAAATTATGCGAATTTTTTTTAACTTCAAGGGTAGTTTTTCAGGATGACTAAATTTTTATTTGAATATTTTTAGGAAATATCCAAACGGAGGATACAATAAAAAATTATTTAGAAACAGGCAAAGATCTACAGAGTTATCACGCAAAGCCTTAAGTTGGTTAGCTAGTATAAATTCATCAAAGTGAATCCATCCGTGTTATTTCGTTCTAATCTTAGTTCTAAGATTTTCTAGAATTACTGTGCGAAATTTGTCATTATCTTCACCTTTTTTCTTCATTCAAAGTTTTCATTTATCATCTGACCAACAGTTTATTAATCATGCTAACGTAATGTCGTTATTTTTGGTATGATAAAGGTAATTTTATTAATTAATTATTCTTTACTTTTCTGGGAAAGATGATGAACACTAAATTAATATACTTATGTATCACATATGATTGGTGCTTATTTTCACGTAGAATAGTGATAAGAACAATTTAACTATAAACTGTTGATGATGCGTTTGATATCTCATATGATTGCTTTTGTTCGTTTATTTGAATAGTATCTTTAAATACTGAATTCCTGAATGCGCCAATATGTACGTAGTTTGTGTACAACCTTTCCTTTCATTAAGGATTAAGTTTTATAATTTATTGTAATTCATTATGCTGCTTCTATGATCTCTTTTAGTTCTCAACTTAACTCTGATTGACTTGCCTGGAATGACTAAAGTTCCTGTCGGTGATCAACCTCTAGATATTGAAGTTCAAATTAGATCAATGATTTTGGAATTTATTACGCAGGAAAATTGTTTAATTTTGGCTGTTTCCCCCGCGAATTCCGATTTAGCTAATTCAGATGCATTAAAGTTGTCCAAAGAAGTAGACCCTCAAGGTTTGCGAACAATAGGAGTAGTAACAAAGTTGGATTTAATGGATCAGGGTACGGATGCTCGAGAAATCTTGGAAAACCGTCTTCTGCCACTTAGAAGAGGTTAGTGACAATTTGTTTATTTAAAAAACTACTTGGAATTACTAGTATGCTTTCTATTCATAGAAATTTAGAAATACCTAAGCATAACACAAAGACGGTAATACGTGTTCAAGGTCAAATCACCAAACGGTTTGGAAAGTATAGCTGACTTTTATTTCGTATGAAGCATATTTGTAGTTTTTCACACGTTCATTCTGCCCGAGCTCTTCTAGTCGGTAATTTATTGCACAGTGATAAAAAGCCATACAAGTGAACAAAGTATTCTTTCGGGTACATTTACCACGATAGAATCCAGGAAAATGTAACTTGAGAATTCTGAGCTCTAACTAACGATTGAAACTCTATTCCGAAATTATTTTTTCGTTAAAAGGCTGAACTATTCTTTAAAAGTATATAATACAGTTTGAGCTGAAAATATCAACCGTTATTTTCCTGATAATTAGTTTTAGTGTTAATGCATTCTCCTTGAAGGCTATGTGAATATGATTTTAGGAGGGGTCGAAAGTGTGTTTATACCTGGGATTTCTAACTACTGATAAGACAAACGCCACCAACTCTTCGATTATCAGGCCAGTTTGTACCCATGTATAATGAAATACAATTAATATGATCTATTCAATGAATTTCAGGCTTATGATATCTTTCAGGTATTTGATATCACTAAAACGTTATCAATTACAACGTATGATGGATGACAGATCAATTTCTGTCGTTTGTATGTTAAACTTGTTGTATGAAGATTTTTATATCAATACCTTCACTGATAAATTTCTGATCTCTCGTTTCTGTGTAGTTATCTTCCTTAACAAAATATTCATACTAGCTCAAAGAAACCTACACTCCATCTAACAGTGTGTGATGCCTTGCTCCTACATCCTCTTTGGAGTGTCTGGTTCTAAACGAACTCTTTAACCGTAGGTAACACTCACTGCTTTCTCTAAGCCATTTCCAAGAGATGTAATTTAACTGGAAATCTAATGAATACTACGTTACAGTACATCATATTTAGTTAAATTATTGACACAACCACTTCCATTTAAATCCTGTTTGGCCCACAACTAACGTAAACGCAGTTTGTGTTGATAAAATTATTTTCGTCTTTGATTATCCTCCTTAGTTATACCATTTCGCTCTTTCTTCGTTTACATTTTGACTCTTCACTTGTTTTTTTCTCCCGCTTCTTTTACTCATTTTGTTGCTTTGTTATTGTATTTTGTTCTCTCCTACTCAATCAATGAATTCAAAAATAATTTCTATTGGCTAACCAGTTGAGTTCTATTTATAATATTGGATTTTCATTCCTACTAGTTATTGATCTTGTTTCTATTCTTATTAATATTATGTCCTAGTAACCTTTCTTTCATTCATTTGTTCACTGTTAGTTATCACAATGTAAAATTGAATAAATGTTCTCCAGTGGGAGGGGTGGAATTATTATTTGAGTTGCGTTACGTGTTTGCTTCTGTCTAAAATTGCAAAAGATAGAGAAGATAGTTTACCAAATCATGAAGTTTCTTTTGTTCGTTTTTAAAGAAAAGTAGTAAATAAGGTACCACCACTGATTTTTGTGTGTCTATAGAAAGTAGAATAAACTTAACCTTTTATGTACACAACTCTTATAAACAGGTTGTCGGTAGCTGGGGAAGTGCACTAGTATACACATTCAGTCGAGGATACATTACTTACTCCTGTCATACCTCGTGAAGGTTTATGGACTGCCCATCAGGATTCTCAATCGAACAATGTTTTGGTCAGTCCATTCCAGTTGTTATTCATCCTTTTCATGTCTGCTTCCCATTCCTGATGCAATGTTTCTCGGTCATCTACTTTCCTATTATCCTTCAGAATTCTAAGTTAGCGCTTGCCTCGTGATGCAGTTTGGTGATTTTCACAAATCATGTCTATCCACCTCCAACGTCTTTTCCCAATTTCCTCTTCGGCTGTAAGCTCGTTTGTTTCCTCCCACAGTAGGTTGTTGCTGATGGTATCCGTCCAACAGACATTGAGTATCTTTCGTAGATAATTGTTTATAAATACTTGTACGTTTTGATGATGGTTGTGATAGTTCTCCGAGTTTCAGCTCCACACAGTAAGGCCGTCTTGATGTTCTTATTGAAGTTTCTGACTTTGATGTTAGTTGACAGTTGCTTTCAGTTTCATATGTTCTTCAATTGTAGGAATGCGGTCCTTGCTTTGTGAATCCTCGACTTTACGTCTGCATCAGATTCTCCTTGTTCATCTATGATGCTACCCAGATACGTTAAAGTTTCCACCCCTTCCAGAGTTTCTCTATTAAATGTGATTATTGGGTTGGTGTTCTCCGTGTTGTATTTGAGGATGCTGCTTTTTCCCTTGTGTATGTAGAGGTCTATTGATGCAGAGACTGACACTACACTGTTTGTCTTGACCTGCATTTGTTGATGTGTGTGGGATGGAAGGAGTGGGTCATCTGCGAAGTTCAAATCATCATCATCCGTTGTATTCCGTGCTTTCCCTCAGATGTGGATGTCTTCGTAATTCAATTGACTATCAGAAGAAGGAGAAAGAGCGAGGGTGAACAATCTTGTCTGTAACCGGTCCTCACTCGGAATGCATCTGTCAGCTGTCCTCCATGCACGACTTTGCAGTGTAGTCCGTCACGAGGACTCCGTATGTGGTGATAACCTTCTTAGGTAATACATAGTGTTGAAGATGGTTCCATAGGGCTCTTTCATTCTCACTGTCAAATGCTTTCTCATAGTCAAGGAAGTTGAAGTATAGTGACGAGTTCAATTTAGCTGATTGCTTAACAATGGTTCGTAGTGTCGCAATTTGATCTGTGTATAACCGATCTTTACGGAATGCAGCCTGTTGATCTCATAGTTGGGCGACTACTGAAACTTTCATTCAGTTCAGCAACACTGTTGAAAACCTTTACTGATACTGACACAAGTATGATGCCTCTGCAGTTTTCGCACTTGCTCAGATTTCCTTTTTTGGTGCCTTGATGAGGTATCCTTCTTCCCAGTCTGTCAGCACTTGTTCCTCCTGCCAAATCTGCCTGAACAGAATGTGAAGCATCTTTGCAGTTACTTCTATGTAAAAATTCAGTGCTTCAGATGGTATATAGTTGTTTCCTTCTGCTTTTCCACTCTTGATTTGTCTGATGATCATCTTCATTTGTTCTAACTTTGGTGGCATTACAGCTAAATGGAAATCATATTCACTTACAGAACTCTTATTCATTACCCATTCTTTTTTTCAGTGCTATTCTTCTCTAAATAGACGTTTATCTGTACTGTTTGAAGTATTTTTTTATTTTATATGATTTATATGAACTCTGAAACTATTAACTACTAAATTGGTCTTGAAGGTTGTTTTTTTGACAGACTTATAATTCAAAAATGCTTTGCACACCATTTATAAGAACGTTGTCCTGTCTACGTGAATTAACTTTTATTTGTTGGCTCTGTGTTCAGACGAAATGCAAGAATTTTGATCGTCGCACAGAGGATTAATTAAGCCTTTAGTGTATTGTGGGAGACATATCCATATTATTTCGTATGAATGTTGTTTCCGCTATTTTTATTGCCATGGACAGACACATTTTATCGATTAAAGGAAGTTAAATGACGATATACCATTAGCCTACCGTTCAACTTATACTCAGAAGTAATCCACAGCGCCGCATACTTTCATAGTACATCATACACTGTTTCGATGGAATTTTATTTATGACCACAAATTACAGCTTATGGCTTATTGTGCATATTCATTACATTTGAATCAGAGCTGGTAAGAGAATGAAAGCTAACAGGATGAAGCAAATGTTGGAGGAAGTACAGTGAACGGATTATCCAACAACATGTAGATGATGTACAATTTTCTCATTCTACGTCTGACTGTCAAGTATTTATTCGTCTGATTAAGGTCAAAAATAAGATAAAATTTAGATCAAACAATAAATGAATGAAAAAAGTCAGCCAAATCTGAAGAATCAATTTATTACCCTTGTAAGACAACTGGATACGTAAAATAAATTCACGGTTACAAATAACAAATGTTCGGTTACACAAAATCGTCTCGTCTCTACAAGACGATATATTGACTTACATTTCTAACCTTTAGTCCAGCCATGATCTATGACCCTCTCTCAGAAACAACGCATATACACTGTTTACAGTAAAACACCAGTGCAGTATAGTTTATTATGGAATAGGCTTCCAATACCTAACCGTAACTGCGAACCTATTGTCAGGTTCAGAACACTAATAACACTATAACTTGACACTTAACAGCTACATCAAGTATTCTCCGAACTTCCGCACTTTATTATAAACCGCCTCATACTTAGATCGATCATGAATACAACGGACCCCAGTAAATATTAACTAAACAATAGAACACATGGTTTACCCTCTCCTATTATTCAATGATTATTAGTTATGCCCTGACGCTCCTACTCCTCACTTTCAGATTCAGAATCTATCTAATGGTTAGAGTTACATCCATAGGAAGGTCTGTGTTTTTGTTGCTTCTATGTTCGGTGGATTGAGTGGATCTGGCTTATCCAGAAATTCTTTAAATTGTTCCGCCCATCTCTTCCTCTGTTCTTGAATCGTATTCATTGGCTTGCCTTCTTGCTCGACTGATTGCTCTAGTTTCCGATACTTCTGCGCTAGTTTCTTCGTTATACCGTGTAGTTTTTTCATAAGTCCTTCACTTGCAGCTTTTTTCGTTGTCATTGCTTGTTCTTCCACGTATTTATGTTTGTTGGATCTAATGCTCCTCTTTGTTGGCTTGTTTGCTTCTTTGCATTCAGCTTTTGCCATGGTTTTCTCTCTACTTGTTCGGCTGTCGTTGAGTTTTACCTTCTTGTTTTTCATTTCTTGAGTATTGTCGACGGTTTCGGTGGAGGTCTATTCACTATGATTCTTGTTGCGGCCTGGATCCTCCTGATACTTTGAAGTTGGTCCTTCTTTGATCCCTCTCCAGTTACTTCTTTCGGTAAATCCTGTAAGGCTTGGAACCTGTTGTTGAGAGTTATCTTGAATTCTCTGAGTTTGTCTGTTTGTCGAAGGAAGGTTGTCTTAAACCTTTGTAATGCTGTTTCTCCAGTTGTCCAGTGCTCCTTTCGCCTCAGTTCCATCTTGGAAACCATCAGGTAGTGATTTGAAAGCTGTCAGCTCCTCTTCTGGTTCTCACGTCTTCCATTGACCTTGTAAATTTTTTACTAATGCAAATATGATCTATCTGGTTCTCCGTGGTGTGGTGTGGTGAGACCCATGTAGCTTTGTGTGTGTTGCGTCGCCCATAACCATTCCGTTTAATGCACATAAATTTTCAAATCTGTCACCGTTCTCGTTCCTTTCTCCCAATCAGTCCGTGTCGTCCCGTGATTTCTTCATATCCGGTGTTGTCCATTCCAACATTGCCGTTTACGTCACCCATCAGTATGGTCAGGTCCTCTCCTAAGCATTTCACTATGATCGATTGCAGCCTCTCATAGAATTGATAGTTATCCTCGTTGTTGCTATCGTTGGTTGGTGCATAACGCTGTTTTGAAGTATGCTTTGATGATTCTGGATCCATGACATTTCCATTTTATAAGTGCTTTACGTGTTTCTTTGGACAGTATCAGAGCAACTCCGTGAGTGTGTGGAGTATTTTCTTCTTTGTGACCAGAGTACAACAGCGTCTCTCCCGAATCTATTTTCAGTCCAGCTTGGGTCTAATGCGTTTCACTTATTCCAACAATCGCCAAGTTGTATCTCCTCATTTCTGTAGCTGTTTGATTGGTTCTCCCAGTTACCCACATTTTCCAAACATTCCATGTACCTATAAAAGTTGTTGCTCTGGTTTTTAGAAGGGGCATCGGTCTCGTGACTTACGAAGATTTCCGGCTTTCACCATGTGGCGTCATAATTCTCCTGAATAGAGATCCTTCAAGTGTCAGTGCACAGTTTGTATGGTTTGATTTCTTTCTTGTGGTTAGTGTTTTTTAGTAAGGTTGTTTTCTACGAGATGGGGTTGCTGACATCATGTCTAACTCTCTTCCTTTACTCGGGCTTGAGACCGGCAGTAACTATAGAAGACATGCAGGCTAAGTTTGAGTATACATTAAGATATCAGTTTTAAAAAGTATTTAATCATCTCAAGCTATTAAATAAGGATACCATTGATGAAATAACTATGAGGACATAATCTAAGAATGACATGAAAAATAATCTGCAGACAAGAAACAATAATCTTCTAATGAAATTTTCAGAATTCAAAATATAGTGAATACATCTGTATCGATTGGTTTGAGTTGGTTTCACCCAATATATCCAAGCTCTGGTTTTAAACATGGTGTAAAGGTAATCAATTACCCCCCGTTTACGGACAATAGAAGAGATTTGTGGTTTAGGAAGTGAATTTTGAAGGTACACAGTTTGATCTCAGCTTACAGTCTTTCTATCCTACCATTACTTCAAACAATATTATTGGTTGAAGAGAAAATGTATCACTCTGTAACAATTATGATTTTCCGCTAAAGTAGTTGATGCGTTGATGTTCCATACATGTATTAAGTTACGAATTAGTATCGATTACTCCCCAGTTCAATGTATGCTAGTTTGACCATTGAATGGTTAAGTAAATCATGCATAAAATAATATATTTTGGGAGTTTTAATCTGTGGTTGTGTTTGTCGTGGATATACTTGTGGTGTATAGCGAATCATTGTCTCCTGTTAACCTTTTTCCTCTATAACGAGTAGCCACACCAGTATTTTGCCCAGATTCACCGTGGTAAGAAACGGTTTTGGAGGTTGAACGCAAATTTAAGACTTACTTAGAAGTTTAACTTCGATGCCACTTGTTTAATGGTCCCACAATGATTTGGGATGCATTTGTCTTTAAAACGCTTTACTACATGTACATTCTGATTGATTGTTCTTATTCCTTTTTAAATCGACTTATTCCATGCGATGATGCTAACAGTAGTCGGTCTAACATTATAGAATAAATGCAAGTTGAATAGACAATGCTTGCTAAAATAAGCATTTTAAATATATACTTGGTTGGGGTCCATGTGAATGATATAACCAGTGGTTAGAGACTTTAAATGACATGGCTCAAGATCATTTGCAATGGTGCAGTTGCATCCATTTTTCATCTCCCCTGAAATTTCGAGCTTCTAAATCTCCCATAACTTTGTTTTTATCGCATTGATTTCTATTTTTCGAATTAGATCTTCGATGCCTAATCTTCTCTATTACCATGGATACTATTACTACCTCTACTCTTCTGGGATTCGATCTGACAATGTCATCTCTGCGCTTATGGGGTATGGGAAGTTGAACCGATCTACATACGTACGATGTCCTACTTTGTTACTGACTGAAGGATATATCCTCATTGTTATTAATTCATCAAATGTAACACTAACCAGTTTTCTTTTTCATTTAATTATTATAAGTAATACTCTGTTCCTTTCCTATTAATTAGGCTATATCGGTGTGGTTAATCGTAGTCAGCGGGATATTGAAGGTCGTAAAGATATTAAAGCTGCTTTAGCAGCTGAAAGAAAATTCTTTCTAAGTCATCCATCTTATCGTCATATGGCTGATCGAATGGGAACACCATTTTTGCAATCTACATTAAATCAACAATTAACTAATCATATTCGAGATACTTTACCTGGTCTAAGAAATAAACTCCAATCACAAATGTTAGCTATGGAAAAAGAAGTTGAAGAATATAAACATTACAAACCTAGTGATCCATCTTTTAAAACTAAAGCTTTGCTCCTGTAAGTTTTAATTTATATACATTGGCTGTTTGGGTTTTCTCATTGAAATTTTACGACTGCAATTGATCAGTCTCTTTTGACAAATGTCCATCCTGTACAAACTGCCTCGATATTTTCATTAAGTCACAGACATTTTCTAAACAGAGAAGGATGGTGCCTAGCAGTTGAATTCATCCAGGTTAATCATATGATGGCATTTGGAACGAACGGTATTGGATTTGGGTCTCAGTGTAACTATCAAACCTGGAATGCAGGTACGTCCAGCCAGCAAGCCCCAAATAGAACGAAATGCACGTCCTGAATCATACTGTTAGCCACCATCCATCTCTGCTTAAAAAGTACTGTAAGTTCTGTTATTTTTTATTAAAAAAGACAACCATCATGTTTACTTGATATATAACATCGTCAATCTCAATTTTAAATCACGTCAGTTGTATATTTTGATGTAGGAAGGAGTTGTGTTGTTATGATATGTATGTTTACTATTCTGCATGTTTGGTATGATAGGATTTTATCTGACTAAAATTCCTAATCTCAGTAGTAAAGTCTATTTTCATCAATATTAATAATATCAAAAAATAAGTATGGATTCGTGAATTAGGTTCTGAGTCATTTTTACTATATTGCGACTAGAAATGATACGTTTTTGAATAAACATAAACAACCATTATGGCGCATATTCTTGATCTATTAATTTAAAGCAGTGTATGTTCCGACCAATGAGCGATAGCTACATTTCTTCATTTATGTAAACCAAGCTAACGATAGAGCTGTGTATTTTTATTGTTCGGAACGGAATTACACATTTTATTACCATTTAACGTATCAGGGGTATTGGATCGGTTAATACCTAGTACAATTAACGTTGTATGATATGCTTATGACTATCGGTCTATAAATCGGACTCATGCAAAACCATAAATTTTTAGTTTCAGAAAACATCCTCCAGTTTTTTCGTCGGTTTCACTCCTAACCTTATTTTTTTTACGTTTTAATTCCTATATTTACTTCAACAGGTTTCCTGTGATTTCAAGGCATGTCATACATTTAGATAGTGCAATGCGAAGATGAGGCTTATCATTGTATTATTTAAATTTATCAAAGGAATTAATTTTCAAACATGCAATACACAGTTTTCTTAGGTCCTACTTTATTAAAAATAAATCAAACTAGTGGTGTAGCACAGTAGTTGAAGAGTTTTACTCAATTTATTATAAATTACAAATTATCACTAAATCCAGAAATCATTTGAAGTATAACCATGGAGTAATATTTCTTTTCCCTTCTAATTTCAGAACAGTACAAAGTTTTGAAAAAGATTTTCATCATGCAATTGATGGAGGAGGTTCTGAAATAGACACAAAAACGTTATCTGGTGGCGCATTAATTAATCGTATATTCCATGAGCGTCTACCATATGAAATGAACAAGGTAAAATGTTTGATAATTTACTTTTTAAAGTATGTTCAGCATTCTATTAGTATCATTTTTATAACAGAGTTGACAAATCGTATAATATTTACTCCTCAAATGTAATCAAATAGCAAGTCATTTTGATGTTTTCAGACGACTAGTTTGTATGCCCTGTTGTGTAGTTATACTTAGATTTCTGTTCAGTTAAAAGTAGATTTCGCTATGTTCAACGAATTAAGATATCATCCGAAAGAACAAACAACATGCACACGATTTATACGTATATATACGATACAAAAATGTCCCTGAAAACTTCCAAAATAGCGTACTAAAAGCGGAAACGAACTACGAACGTTCAAGGTCCTTCCAGGCCGGAAACACAAACTGAAGGTGGAAATGGGAACTTTTGTTGTGAAAATGGGACGTTCAATTATCTGTAATAAAATTACAAAAATGAGTTTACCAAGTGATTTCTGGGGAAATAGCATCCCCAACAGGTTTATTGTTAAGGGTTGGTGTCAGTACTCTGATCAGACTGACGATTATAAACTCGAATTTCCCTTTTTGTCATCATACAGCCGTGCGTTTATAGCATCTCCCAAGGAAAATCCTATTCAATCCATTCATCTTTTGATCGTATTTACACAACAGTGACCGTAAACTCGTAGCGCTCTGTGTATACTAAGGGTCATCTATGTGTTGAAAAGTCATGACTACTGTCCAATAAACTAGTTTAACCATAGGATCTTGCAGTATTATATGTGGGTATCGTCACTAGCTACCGCGAAAACCCATCCTTCGAAGTTCCACACACGTCTTGTGATTTGTATTCTCAAACGGAAAGCTTCAGATATATTTTCCAACTTGTCACTAATCTTTATCCTTTAGTAATTTCAGTGTCTAATTCAAAGATGGAATATTTCCTCTTAAATGTTATGTTTTTCTCCAGGTTCTGTGGTCAGATTGAAGTACGAATATTGTCACTATACATATTTACTGTACAGAAATTTAACGAAATTCATAAATTAATTTATTTCGATGATTTTGTTCAGTTACCGTTAGACATTTTTTATCGAATAATAGACCTGTAATTAAAATAAATACTTCGTTTACTTGAGCTGTAATTTTGTGACACTTCTTACTAAAAAACTTCCGATTATGCTGAACGTGTATATCGATCGTTGATTGACTTAAATATACGAAGCTTGTAAAAAGTATCTAGCATTCTTAGAATTATTTTTGTCTAAGACGTGCACCATTTGTTACTTAAATCCATATTTATGACTGACAGACATAAATCGCCACCATAAGGGCCTGGCAAACGTGTGTGTAGACCCAATTCGCTGTATCGCATTATGACGAGACGAAAACAACAAGACAAATAGCAAGAGATAGAAAAAATGTACTGGCAATGATAATATGATAGACCAAGCCTTGGGAATATAGTTTACAAAGACAGAATGGAAAGGTATATATGATAGGATAATAAATTTCAATACCGAGCGGAAGATAAAGGACAAATGTGTCTGTGCAATTGTGAGTGGTCCTAAACCATGTCACCCAAAACGCTAACCACTGATAACGGTTGTCACCTGGACCTCAACCAGGTGGTTTGCATCTACCACTATAGATTATATTAACAGTCAATGTCTTCATGGGCTGATGACACGTTTTAGCTTGGCCATCTCTAGCTTCCATGTTTATACACTGCTTTCCACCAAATTTCTTTATTTTATATTTTACCTAATTTATTGTTTCCTGATTTGTTTTGATTGTGATTTTGCTCATTAGATCGAAACTGATGAAGAAGAATTACGGAAAGAAATAAGTTACGCCATTCGTAATATACATGGTATTAGGTAAGTGATCGATTTCCATTTGTATTATCTTACATCTCAAAAGTTTTAAAACTTCGAAAGTTAAAACAACGGTGATTAATTCTGTTCTCTGTGTGAGTCAGGTTTTAAGATAAACAAACATTGTAAAATCAATCTAGACTTCGAAGATTTATATGATTCTTACTACTGTAGCGTACTTATTTCGCTGGCTATCAAGTTGTTTAAAGTGCAGTTTCAGTATAACAATATGTGGTTTGCACACATGTATTCAGGTAATGTAGAAATTGGATTGAATGCAATTTATGAAATATGATCTATTGGAGTCCTAGATGGAAACGTTACTACTGACTACAGGGAATTTTAACGGTATGTCATTCATGGTAACACGACACTCTCTATCCGGCTATTACATTACTTTAAAATGTTTAACTATCGCGAACCGTAATTGGTTAGATTCAGGCTTTCTCTCTACTGGAACCTTCAACCCCACAAATTCTATAGAAGAGGCTAGTGGTGGTTTAATTATTGTTTAAAAACCTTGCAAGTATCTAATACTAACTTTTACAAATTTTCTTTTGTTTCGGTAGAACTGGATTATTCACGCCTGATCTAGCTTTCGAAACTATAACTCGTAAACAAATTGATAAAATGAAAATACCGTCATTGAAATGTGCTGATTTAGTTGTGGCTCAATTGACTGAAATTGTACACGCATGTACGGCACGTGTAAGTATATAACTGCTGTCAAAATACTGTTACTATTATTACTATTACTGTTTTGAAGTTTGACTTGTGAAATTTGTTTATGATAAAGTTAGTATTCATCACAATTTTGGGAGTTTAAACTATTAAATTTTGATCCAGTAGCTCCATTGTATCGTGCTTTCTACGAAACCTAAAAGTCCTTAGTTCGATTCTTGTCAACTGGGTCCTGTGTATGTCTTGTTGTGGCTACTCAAAAGACGACATAGGTTCAGTGTTTTCTTTAGCCTTCAATGTTTTTCTAACCGCGTTCATCATCATTTATTTATTAACCACATTTAGCAAGGTTGACAAACTGTTTATATTCTTAGTTAATTTCTCGCTTCACATTACACTTGTCACTTTAATTGTTGGTTCTATATAAGGAAAAGTGTTTTTTTCCTTACATCAAAACACTTTATGACGTACTTTATTCATGTTTTCCTTCTTTATTCTGAGTTTATTCTGGATAATTTTTTTGTACTTCAACTTAATAATTGTACTAATAATATCACTATTTTTATTTATTTTCATATGTGTTATTAAAAGAATGATTTGTAAAAGGAAAGTTGTTGATTATTTAATTTAATTTGATTACATTGTAGATGGAGAATTTTCCACGCTTAAGAGAAGAAACAGAGCGTATTGTGAATCAATGGATTCGTGAAAGAGAAATTCGTGCCAGAGATCAAATTGTACTGTTAGTTGACATACAATTATCCTATATGAATACCAATCATGAAGATTTTATTGGTTTTGAAAGGTAACTATATTATTATAATACTTGATTCAGTTGATGACGTTTACCGAGGTTAGAATTTCTTAGTTGCTCAATTATTTCATCTATATTAAATTAAATGTACTTAAAATATTCCTCTTGTCTTTATGTTGATCACTAAGCATTATTATTTGTCAGCACGATGCAATAGGTACAATTGTTATCGTGCAATTTGAAATTGCATATATGGACGTTAAAATATTGTTTTAAATTAATAAATGTTGGTATACCATAAAGTATAGTCAGAAATGATATTTAAACTCGAAGCCAATACCATAACTATTCCATGTATTATTAAATCTCACTTGACAAAAATGTACCATAATTCGAATACATTCATTGTATTTATTAGTGCTCTTGTCGTCATAATATCATATTAAGCATTAGTTATGCATGTATGTATGTTCAATAAAAATGTTATTAATACTACTGGGTGAGTGGTACCAACAATTAAGGAAATCAAACAACGCACTTTAATGTGGAAGTATTTTTACTTTCGAACGCAAATAAACTTGAAGTTTAATTAATCTGTGTACATTGTATCATGAGCAAAAACAACCACTTACTAATGATTGTGATCTGTCCAATGGATTATTGTTTATTGGTGTGAGATTCCCAACAATAGTTTATCCTTATTATGTAATAAAAATGATATTTTCTTGAAGGTTCTGTCACAATTAGTCAATATTTATTATTAAGCTGCTTAAAATATATACTTTTCTTTATCCAGATAATACATTACGTATTTATTAATGTATCATCAGTTGAACAGTTGACATCATATTAATGACTTAATGCTAAGTATTGTCCCCTACTAATGTTTGGTGTATCGATTTCTTTGTGATCACTTGTCAATTTCGGTACAAATTCACGAAATATGAAGATCGATTATGTTCCCATAAATTTTCTTTTAAATGTCTAAGTTCAAGTTATAACTCCATAAGAGTGCTTTAACTTTATTATAACTAGCTGGTTTAGGCACATAGTTCACACTGTCTACTGAGACTTGTAACTCACCACGGAGATTTGTGTTGTTGTTGGGTCTCAGAAGTATTTTTTTGTTCAGAGGTTTGTGAAGATTGTTGCCTCCTACTGAAACTAACCTCCGTAGGAAATCCTTTTAGCTCTAGTGAGAACCTGTGATCACTGTAGTTCAACAGTGTTGGGTGAGGGAGTTACCCGCCAATGACAGTGAAAAATGGATAGTATAGCCTATCGAACGAAGTTAGATATGTAACCATCGGATGCTGTCTCGAGTTAAGCTCTTACTACGAGATCTGTAAGTCCTAAGTTCGATGTTACGTGGGTGATGACTATTTGCTTCTGAGAAGTCTCATACTAGGACGAGACAGCTGTACAGTGCTTTCTGGTTTCTCGTGATTGTCTAGCCTAGATCTGTTTGTGATCTCAGTAATATCTTTTTCGTTTGTTAGCATATTTCATTCCCACTTTTTGACGGAATAGTTTCAAAAAACACTTAGTCTAAAAGAGCATAAATATATGAATCTTTTTGTTGTATTAACGTTTGAAATTGTCGTAACAAAATATTTTTCCATCTCCATATTCTTCTTAATACTGTTTGTGAATTGATTTGAATTTACCTATTGTACAGATTATGTTTCCTTTTATAAATCTGTCAACTATTAATCTTTTTATACTATCTAGTAAATTTTGAGTACAGTTTTCATCGTGAGTAAGTAACTTTTAAACATTCATCTAAATAAAAAAGTAACAGCCATTCTAACTTTACTAATTAACAGTGAACATTCACGATTCTCGTCAAAGGATCAAATATAAGATGCTCAATAGTCTTTAATGACTTGTGATATTCTAAATAATAGTCAGTTTGTTATTTATCTTGCCTTATTACTATGTAATTTTGTGTCCATTGAAAGATAACCATGATCAGTGGTTAGAGCGTTTATGTAATATGGCTCAAAGTTGTTCAAAATCGAACAAATTCAATCACTTTGTTTTTCTTCCCATCTTAAATCCCATTATTCCTTCATACATATCTTTCCACTCTATCTTTTTGAACCATATTCCCAATGTTCAGTCTTTCTCAGTGTCATTGCTATTACATTTACTCTAAGATTACAAATCAAAATAAGGCTACATACATCATTATGTCAATAAAATCCTTTTCACTGTTGTTTAAGGGCATAGATACACATTTTCATCAATCCTGAATATATTTTTATTCGCTGATGTGTTTTCTTTAGGAATTCTCTCATACATACGCCGCTACGTATATTACGGTATGGTTTTAATGTGAAGTTATTGTCACCATAACGTTTCAGCTCATACCTTTTGAAATAATATTTGTTAACTTTTTTCTTATGTATATCTTTTAACTTATTTAATTGTTGGTGAATTTAATGATGAATACAAGTCTTTAACCATTTAGTAGAATAATACATATATACATGTGATTGTTTGAGAGTGTATGCGCTTATTTGCTTGCTTATACTTGCTTTCCTGCTTTTAAATTTATGCTTACATAAGTATTTTGTTTACTTTTCAGTTCTTTAACTTAAAATTCATTAATATTCACCAATTATTGTGCTTAATCAGAAGAAAAGCTCAAGAAATTTGGATTTTTGTTTTACTAGATTCTAGTTAAAAAATAATATTTCATAATAAAATCGTTTGCATTTGGATTACATTTTCAAGTTACATAATTCCATTCATAAGGAACCTAATCAACTATGCTTTATTCATATGAACACGCATTGCTTAAGTTCTCCTAGAACCTTGTAAAAACTCTCAGTTTATATATAGAACATTTTTCCCCCCAGAAAGTTTTTAATCAATTAAGAATTGTTTTAGACTAACAAAATGAAAAAGATAGGATGTTCTGAACATGTTGAAGGTGGTAAAATGTACAGTCTGACAATACTCAGTTTAGTGTGTAAAATATGAAATCAAAAGTAAAATTCTCTCAGCACACTATTAGATAAAGTATTATATCGTTTAATGGTTTTCGATTCGCAGTTGTTCTTCTGTTGCGTTAGCGTCAGTTATATTTATAAATCTACGTATTGATATAACCGTATTCAGTTTTATCTACTGTTTCTGTATCCGGGTGATCAAATTCAAGAATAAAAAGGCTGGTTATGCATTCATCTCTTTCTTTATTTTTCTGTAGTGCAGAACAACAGTCGTCAGAAGTAGCAAAAAATAAACCTGGAAATAAGGTCAGCTCAGTATGTTTACTGATTTATTTTACATATATATGTGTATATATTTTATTATTTAATATACGAACGGTTTGTTTCTATTGAGGGAGATTTAAATTCTGTAAATTAAGTTGTTTTGCTCATATCCTACTAATTAAATGTACGAGTAAACGTAGTAGTTTACAAATACTACCGTTTTAATGTTTACATCTGATCAATTTATGGGGGAAAATGATGCTGACTACTGGTGATGCCGTTTGGCTGTTAGAGTTTCACCAAATGCTACAAGATCTAAACCTGCACTTTGATGATTTAATGCCAAATACTCAAACCATTAAATCACCACTTCCTTAACAGATGTAACTATCGTTTATCCATAGTGATTTTCTATATGTTATAATTTGGGTGTAGGGTTTGTTTCCAATTCCTAGTGTTGCACGCGAAAATTAAACCTGTGTAATATGCAACAGGCAAAGATAGTAATAAAAAAGAAACATTTTTAAAACGTCGTTTTTTCTCATGGTATGTGTGAAAGATCTAGCAGCCTACTTCGGCATATTTTTCAAAACACTTCATTAGAAGTCGACACATCTGAAATGTTGCAGGTCTTATTATGTTGTTTATGGAACAATTTCTCAGTTTGTGTCATATTTTTGTCCATGTTACCATGATATCATAAATTATTTTCATATATTAGAAGCAGACGAATTTGTTTAGTAATGACTTAATTATTATTATTGTGTAAATAATTGTGATTTGCACATATCACATGGTTAATATCGAAAATACAACACGACATACTTAATTTATTCATTCGTTCAATGTGGTTTTTTGTAGCCATAATTGATTTTTAATGGTAAATTTATTGCATAATTTACCTACCAATAGACTTTTCGACATGCTGACTGGTTCGTATGTAATTATAACTTGTGGACTATCGTATTTCTAGTGTACACACAATTATTTTCTGACGTCAGATGATGTTGTTTCTTGACACAGTCTGTTTTCAAATTATATAGATCTCTCTACAGGATATCTAAGTTTGGAGAGTTTTTAAAGGATTATCCCTCAACTACAGGAATTTAATGTGTAATGTTTTTTAAAGGGATATGACATTCCAATCCTTGTTTATGATTTTGATTGTGTGGCAGAGGAGACAGTTGACATTAGTACCCCAACAATCAATACCTTTGAAAGTTATCCCAATTTATCCGTATTTTAATATATTATTCATGGTGATGAGGCGTAGTGAAATCGACTGTTCAATGTTTTTTTTTCTGATTTCATATCGTCTGTATGCTTCGCTATTGAAGTAATTGATTTGTCCAGTTATGGGTTATCAATGAAAATAATTTAGTTAAGTCATTTAGACGTCATGCTTTGAAGCTCGATGTATCGTAGTTATAGCGAGAAAGCCATTCAGCGAATACATCATTCAAAGCTAACGTCCATTAACGAACTTCATACTAACCATCTTCATGATCAGAACACAAGTGATTTTAATTGTAAAATAGATATTTGCGTACATTTTCATACATATTCATGTTTTGCTTCTTATGTATAAACCTTTATTCACAAATAATAATTATTTACAAGTACCTATTAGTAATTATTTGAATCACTATTTCGCTTATTTACGAGTTACTATTCAGTTTAATTCACCTTGTTAATGGAAATTACTTAAAGATGCAGCTTTTGGTTTTAGAGAGATTAAAACATGTACGAAGAAGTTTATTTGGAATGTACGGGACGTAACTTACAAAGGAATGCGAGGAAGACGTATGCTTCGTATTATTTAGGACTCGTCAACTGGATGTAATTTCATCCCATAGTTGATGTTCACTCCGGAATTCGAACCCAGTACCTTCCGCTTTAAACGGGATAATCTAAACCATTTCAAATTAAATTATGTACAGTGAAGCTTAATTTTACCATTACCACAATACTTTTTATGAATATCCGTCAAATTTGAAGAAGTAGTTAAGCAAAAATTGGGCACCGAGTATATAAAGGACAATATTTGTAAAAAAAAAATTATATTTAAAATAATCCCAGAGATTGAAATTTAAATAACTCCATTATGTCGCGTAACAAAGCGTTTCGAACTTCATCAAGGGAGCAATAAACATTGTAGGAACATTTTTTGAAGGGTCAATTTGATAAGTATTTAAAAGAGTATTTCAACATTTTACTTAGATTAAGGTTGTTTTAGCGTGGGTACTAATTATATTCTATTTGAGTAAAAATATCTCTAATTCTCTAAGTTTTGGCAAATTATTACTTATGATGTAATGCTTCTTTGTTGTCATATGCAAGTGTTTTACTATTCATCAATGATTTCTACATATTAGGGCCTTTACTTTCAAAAGTGGAAACATCTGTAATCTCACTTGGAATCACTATGTCGAAATTCTAACCCATAAATGTGCATCCAATTTCATTATACTGAATTTTGTATGTGGTGTTCAACGAAAATAGGAATATGACGTTAAATAGCAACATCTGAATGCATTAATATACAGATTTAAACTTGATAAATATGAAGAAATAACTAGACTAATGAATCATCATATCAGCATAGTTATTAGGGAAGCTCGTATTGAGTTGTGCGTAATCTGACATTAAAAAACAGTTATATTTATCTACATACATTTCTGGTCAATGAATAATAAATGTTTATGCTTACATTCTTTTTTTATTTATGACTGATAGTCACATTGATTTTGTTTGTTTTTCAGGTAATTCGTAAAGGTTGGTTATCTTTGCAAAATGTTACTTTGCTTCGTGGAGGTAACAAAGATTTTTGGTTTGTATTAAATACTGAATCATTGACCTGGTACAAAGATGATGAGGTAAGTTACATGACATTTATTAAATATCCTCTTATAAATTTAATTTTGAATACTTTGATATTTGCCTCACTTTATGTTTACGACAGTAAGGACTTAGAGATCGTTAATCTAATTTTCTAGAATTTTGTCTTGTTCAATTTAGTGCTTATTGGTTTTGTGTTTTGACATTTCTCAACGGTTATTTACAGGATATACATTTCATCTTAGCTACTACTTGTTAGCTAATGTATTTGGTAAGATTGTATCCCAATACTTATTTAATCATGACGCACTATTCCATTCATTCTTGAAAACCTGTTAAACTGTGCAGTGCTTCCCAACAAATTCTACCGGTATTAGCGAAAAAAGATTTATTTTAGCGCCATTTTAAAGTTTGTAAGCTGCAAGTATGTGGTTAAAGATGTTAGAAACAAATACACAACAGACTAATTTATTTATATATTTAGTCAATGTGGCCTATTAATGTTACAAATTGTATACATATATTTATATAAATATATATACTTTAGGTTACTGAATAATTTTTGTCAACTACTACGTAGTTAAGTGTATCCAAATTTACCTACTGATCAAACAAGTAAACCATATTTAATTCGATATAGTTTTTATCTAGTTTTTGAATAGATTGTGGGATTGGTGATTGTATTTGTTGTGGATATATTTCCAGCGCATAATAAACCCCCCTCTACTGTCTTTCTTTACATTATGGTGTATTAGGCCCTGTTTAGTTATACAGGGGCGAGTAACCAGTTTTATCCACAGGATATCAAAAGTAGCTACGCTAGTACTTTGCTACAAAATATTACAACGCCCCTGAGCCGGCACATTTGTTGACCGATTCCTGAGGGAATCTAAATATAAAAAATATTCCGTCGATTTTTATCCTAGACTGATAGTTGGCGAATCGTTAAAGCTAGCTAATATCAGTTCGGGGTAAATATCAAATTTTCATATATATATATATATATATATATATACTGTTGAATAATTAAACACATAGTTTTTTTATCAACCTATATTACTTGTTTATACTGAAGTCGACTAATGATCAATATCCGTACTGTTAATTTTTTTACATTTTTTTCAGGAGAAAGAAAAGCGTTATGTTCTATTATTGGATGGTTTAAAAATACGCGATATTGAAACGGGATTTTTCGGTAAAAAGCATGCTTTTGCACTATTTTATCCGGATAATCATAATGTCTACAAAGATTATAAACAATTGGAATTGTGTGCTGAATCAGCTGAATTAGTTGATTCATGGAAGGCATCATTTTTGCGTGCTGGTGTTTACCCAGCTAAAACTAAATCGGAAAAAACGGAGGTATGTAATAAAAACAACATTATCCTATGATGGCTTTCTGTGGTATATGCTTATCTGAATGATAAAATGTTTTTGAAGACTGACATGAGAGTATATATTTTCTTACTTAATCTGTTATCGAAATCCCGAAAAACGAATTATAATATTTTACTTCCGAATTCATCTAAATTTCCTTTCACCATCAAGTCATCAAATTAAAATAGTTCCTGCTTCACTTCAATACCGGTTGTTGTGAATAAAGATAATGATGATGGTCAATAAACGAAAACGCTATTTACCAGTTATTTTTTCGTTGTCATTGTATGTGTGACATTTCGTGTAAAATAAATTGAGATGTTTCAAAAATGCATTGTTTCTGTTGAACTCGATTATATTATAGAGTAATTTATTTCTTTATTGTGATTGTTTGAATCTTCCCACTGATGTTTATGACTGCAATTGATCAGTCTCTTTTGGCATGTTTGAATCCTATGCCGATTGTCTCGATGTTGCTTTAAGTCACAAGCATTATAATCAGTGATGGAATCAGTAGCGAAGTGGATACATTCGATAACGTTTGAAGCGAAAGGTACTGAATTCGAGTTTTGAAATCAACATCAACTCTGAGATGCAAGTCCATCCAGATAATGAGTCTCAAATAGGATGAGACGCGCGTCCTGGATTCCACTGTCAGCCATCATTCATCTCTGCTTATATCAAATGTTTTTTTTTCTTTGTCTAACATTACCAAATAAATGTAGATATCCTTTTTTTGTACTTATAATAATGAATAGTGGGTTTTATTTTTCTAATATATAAATCAGCAATAATTAAAATAGTTTTGTTACAAATGAAAACGAGTGCATTTGTATACGATAGATAATATGAGAGGAACTATACTGCAGTACGTTTTTTATTTGCATAAGATAGTTCATATACGACTTGACCGTTTTGTGTATTATCTGTAATTGTATACTAAGAAATAAACAATTTTGGTCAGTAATTTTCTTCCCTCTTTCCCGTAACCATGAAATATGGATTATTGTAAGTACTCAACTTTAAGAGATTAAAAGGTTACCTTCTTCGAATTATTGGGTTGTAGATAAATTATCGAACTTATGTGTATAGAGTTGACCAATAAGAGGTATCTGCGTTAACTACATTAGTGAGGACATACATTCTGAACACCAAATTTATGCTTACTTTGAGATTAGATTCCGAAATTTTTTTTATGGGCTATGTTATTACATGTTAGATCAGTAAACTAGTAAGAATGGGAATATTTCTGATGTAACTTTATTAAATTCTTTTGTGAATATCATTTAATTCTTTTCAAAAATATGTACTCTATTGTGATTTTAAATCTAAATAGAATTAAGATTTTTCATACTTTGTCTATTTGAAATATTCTCCAAGTCCGAAAAGTTGTTTGGGTTGACACTTTCAATAAAAAAGAAAAGGAACCTATTGATTTAACATCTTTTTGTGGTGCTGGAAGGTGTTGATCATCGATATACAAAATATAAATAATTATGTTGTAGCGTTTTTATAAAAATTGTTCTCGTTGTTATCGATCATACACATGCTACTTCATGATGTGGTACTTATGTTTTATCATTGGGTAACGTAACATCTCTTTATTTTATTGGTTTAAAATGTATTCATCTTAGTGGCTCTAGCTTGATTCAAAACCGATTGTCAATTTACTGATCACAGCTATGAAACCATGTTTCTTAATTAGCTCTCAAATCCCGTACACGTTTCTACGGCTATACATCGTCAGGAAAGAAAAAAAGCGAAAAATATATCTGGCCAATAATATTTTTCCGATTATATTTTATTAGGCTTATTTTCACATAGCTTTAATCAATTAGGGTATTCCTTTACCCTCTCTTTTCACTATCATTTATGTTTTCAGCAATCTGACACTTCATCACTTGAATCCAGTGAGCCTCAGCTGGAACGTCAAGTAGAAATTATACGAAATCTAGTCGATTCATACATGAAAATTGTGATTAAAACGCAGTTAGATTTGGTACCAAAATTGTTAATGCATATGCTTGTTAATGAGGTGAGTATATATATATATATATATATATATATATATATATATATATATATATATATATATATATATATATATGCACGTTTAAATAAATGTCCTTCATACAAAATGATGTTTATGTTTTCCGTGGACGGATAAACTTTCTATCGTCAAAATATTGAAGCAGTACATTATTTATCAAAGTAATCTGACAGGACTTTTACTAAGCCTCATTATACACTATGAGTCAGCCAAATAGACATGACCATAAAACGGATAATGTCGTCGGTCTGCATCCATTTATTTAGTTTATTTCTTTTGAAAGTATATTGATGTTCTATTTTTTTAAACAATTAGTTGATAATTTGTTCTAGATTACTGCGATTTATAACATTTTCTTAAACTAACGTCAGGGTTGTTGCTTACGAAATTGAGAGTACGAAGAGAGAATATTCGGCACTTTAACCAGGTTGATGGGCACAGAGGGTCCTAGGGGGCAATATGTATAGGAAAATAGTGTCAATGATAGTGACACGACTAAGCATTGAGAATATTGTTCAGATAGAAGATAAGGAAATATCTGTATGGAAGAATATTGAAACCTACTATTTAATTAAAGACAAAGAGTTCGTACGTTGGGATCATTGTCACCGATTCTGTGCCATGTCACCTGACATTTCTAAACACTGATCAAAGTTATCGTTTAGACTCCAACAATGTACTCTATGCATATTAACACGGTTCAGTCTAATAGTCGGTGTCTTCGTGGACTGATGATATGTTTCTCTAACTCTCTTTAACCTACTATCAGAATTAGTATTACGTGTCAAGGCAGATGATGGTTCGGCATATATAACACATGACTCACTAACTGCACTCAGTGAAAATTTACTGCTTTATGAACTGATTTGATTTATCTACCGTGTACCTTACATCTAACTCCAGCATTGCTCACTCTTTTGTTTTATGATATTTGGATAATACTTCATAGGCATATATATTGGCGCTCTCTTGTACCAATATTCATGTGTTCAAATAAATAAATCATAGGCATCTGTAAATAAATGCTTAGCCTGTATATATCTTCTGCTTTCATATATCATATCTCACAGCAGTAGAGTAATACAATGTCATTTTGCTTCATATCTTATTGTGCTCACGGGTTTCACTGTTTCTAAACAATTAGAAACAAATTATTCTTAGTAATAATAAAATATAAAATCAACATACCATCATTGGTAGCATCTGTTCTGTCTTTTGGCCCTGTCATTTATCCTATGACAAAATCGCTAATCAGAATACCGACTTCTAGGACCTTGTTCTTGTGCTAAACCAATGACAAATCAACCAGCACTAACAGACCTGCGTCAACTTTGAATCGTTATTGGTCCTCAAAATAGTGACTTTTTCGCCTAGCCCTGCCCAGTGAGTCCAGAACACAGTCTCAGCCTCCACTTTATGAATCATATGTTTCAGACATACGTAGTTCATATATATATATATATATATATATATATATATATATATATATATATATATATATATATATATATATATATATATATATAATCGGATACAACAATACTGGTACTTAGATTTATTGTAATAGACATTCATGTCAATTAATTACTATACTGTCCAGTTATTCCTTATGAAATATAAACCTCATTAATGTGTATGTCTAATGTAATTTCATCTATTTTATTTGATTATAATTATTTTCATGGTTCTTCATGTTAATTTTTTTCGCATACACTGTAAATCTTACCATGTTAGTTGTTTTGTATCTGATTTTCTTTAACAGTCCCAATTTGCATAAAATACTTTTTTCCCATGTAGCTTTTTAGTAATAATTAATGTCGGTTGTTAAAAAAAACATTTTCTTTTCTTGTTCAGATTAAATCCTTTTTAAAAGGTGAACTATTACCAAATTTATATCAAGCTGGTGACTTAGTGAGTTTATTTTATTATTTAGAATGAATCAGTTATATTATTTTCTTTCATTTTGTTTATAAATAAATTTTTGATTAATCTCTTTTTAATAGTATTATGGTGATAAATGAATGGAATTCATGAATTAATTTAGCATAATCTTTTTTTCCTGATTTTATTTCATGTTGTTGAATGAATCGACTTCGTCATGGAAATCGTTTTAAAAAAAATCGTATCATTGTCATTCACTATGCTCTAAACTAAGAAAGTCGAAATAAATTTTACTCACTTTATCAGTTAATGAATATTAGCTTCAAATATCTCCATTTATGTGTAGCATCAATTAATTTACTTCTAAATCAATATAATCCAGTTGGTGTAATTTTAGTTTGATGTTGCTCAAACATCATTTGATTTCACTGATCAGTGTTTTTTTTTAGTATATAACAAAAATTAGTATGAGTTCTTTTGTTCACTTATATTCTAGCTATAAAGTATGGAATTAATTACTTACTTACTTACACCTGTTACTCCTAATGAAGCATAGGCTGCTGACCAGCATTCTCCAACCCACTCTGTCCTGGACCTTCCTTTCCAGTTCTATCCAATTTTTGTTCACTTTTCTCATGTCTGTCTCCATTTATCGGCGTAATGTGTTCTTTGACCTTGAGGATTCCATATGAGAGCTTGCTTTGTGACACATTTGGGTGCTTCCCTCAATGTGTGTCCTATCCACTTCCACGCTTCTTCCTGATTTCTTCCTCTGGGATCTGACTTGTTCTCCCCCATAGCAGGTTGTTGCTGATAGTGTAGTGTGTCGCCAATGGATCCGAAGTATTTTGGGTAGACAACTGTTAATAAACACTTGTATCTTCTGGATGATGGCTTTCGTAGTTCTCCAGGTTTCGGCCCCATACAGTAATAAAGTATGGAATGTAATGTTTGAATTTTGATTGCTTTTTCACGCTTGAAAAGAAAGTGGACCTTACTAATCACCAGAATTTAACATTGTAATTAAACACAAAATAATTTGATTATTATAATTCTTAATCTTATGTGGTATTTCATCCAATTAGTGTAATTTCTTTTAATGTCTATACATATACTGTCATTGTTATTGCACTTTAAGAATTCATTAATGTCTGAATCATTGGGGGTTCAACAAAAACGCGATGAAATGGTCCGCGTTTATGATGCTATGAAAGAAGCGTTGAATATTATAAGTGAAGTGTCTATGTCCACTGTATCAACACCAATTCCACCGCCAGTCAATGATGACTGGTTACAGGTAAATGGTTATTTTATGTATTTTTTTCACTTAAAGTACATTAATGCAACATAGCTATCACATTTATGTTCATATGGTAGACCATATTTTACTGTTTGCTGATTGACAGTCCTGACTAGACGTTCAAAACGTCATAGATACTAAATGTCAATGACCGTATTTTCTTGTGATATGACCTTCTAACTTACATTCTAGCCTGGAGCATCTTTTTATGTTAGTAATAATTTCTTTTTACTCTTCAAATAGTGAATCACTCTAGTGTTAGAACAACTTCATTTTATATCCTAAAATCTCCATTATTATGTATCTTTTCTTATACGTTGAAATCAGTTATGTGAATAAATACGTCGAAGTTTATTTCCATCTTGGAATACAGTTTTAGCTAGTTAAACAATATCAACATTGACTTAAACCTACCCTAGTAATATTGACTTATCCAGAGTTATTAGGTTTCGAATTGTGTTCACATTATTATTACTCTTATTATTATCCTTATCTCCTTTTACCCCATTTCCAGTCTAGTTGACCTTTTATTTTTATATATAAACGCTCTTAACAAGTATATGTGTGATCAGATTGTTCGAAATGTATTACGCTAATATATTGCAGAATTCTGATAATCTTCGTCTTCTTATTACATTATTAAAATTTATCAAAGGGACTAATTACTTTAAATATCAATATAAAAAAACATGTAAGTGAACCTTAAACAACTAACAGACTTTCATAGATAAATTTCAACAATCGAAAAAATTAAACCTCCCCATGTTGACTGTGTTAAGCATTTCTAGTTGATTTGTTTCGATTTCAGTTATATGATATTAAAAAAATTTGCTATTGTTTTTAATCGTTCTTACATTTTACTAAATAGAATGATATTCCAGGCGGTTTAACTGCTCCTGGATCTACAGGTACACTTCCTCCTCCTAGTCCAACAGCTAATCGTCGTCCACCAGCACCACCTCCTCCTGGTGGATGGAATCCTACAAGTAATACGGGTTCAATCAAAGGCTCTGGTCCCAGACAAGTACCATCAGTTCCTGCTAAAACAAGTTCTGGACAACTGCCTTCTCCATTGATTCCGCAGTAAGCTTTTGTTGTTGTCGTTATTGAAACAATGTTTTCAAATTATTGTTGTTTCAAAGTAGTGAACGCTTAAAAGAAGATAAATTATGCACTTTTTAGATATAGCTATTAGCGTACGAAGAAATATAGTTCCATTGATGAAGAAAAAACAACTTTCTTTTCGTAAAATAACATAGAACTTCCTAATGATAGATTGTTATCACGCCTACAAACAGATATTTGTATGAGTAGAAAAATGATAGTTGGTGTGGAAGTGTTCAGAAATCGGTAAAAAAAAAAGTGATTTTTCTATTTTAGTACCAAAGGATAATTTATCTTCAACCTATACAACCATGCTGTTACGGTCCCACCTTGCAAGTTTTTAATTCCTCCACATAATTTAGACCGCGAGTCAGTAATATTTGAATTAATACTGTACTTATCTGGTCAAATATGTGTCTGTGTAGGCTAGCAATGAAATGCTATTTTATAGGAGCTGTATGTATACTACTAAAGTATACAACTTTTATGTTGGTAGTGTTGAACTCTACACTTATGACTTTAATTGTGAATGATGAAACTAATCTTTATGATATAGGCATATTTAAAGGGATAGATATAATTGGACAAATTATTTATATGGGAGATATTTCTATAGCGTTTACAAGTTTTACAGACTACTTACAATAGCAGTAGTATGTAATTCTAACACCTTGAGTTAAAACTTTCAAATCCATAAAGTCAAACTATACCTCAAAATTTGTGGGAGTTAAACAGTAGATAATGCAATGTATATTTATGATTCACTGTACTATATTATAAGCTTCCAAACAACTGTTTGATTATATTATTATTTGTTCTCATTCATTATAATTATCTACTAACAGTTGTCTGTAAATTCAGTCAATAAATATGTGTGATACTACTTATGTTTTCTGTTCGGTACTGGTTTATTTCGTACTTGGAGAGGGAGTTACTTCATAATATTACATTATTCCTGTTGTAAACATGATAAACTGCACTGTTTTCTTAAAATATTTGTCTTTTTGTTGTTTCATGTGTTGTGCATTGTATATGTTGTCACTTATTTCTGTTTTATTCATTTTGTACGTCTATTTTTCATCGATGCACATTTCCTACGATTACTACTACCGTAACAATTGTAAATCTCATGTTTTACATATATACGTGCACATTCTATACATGTGTATGTATATATAGACGGTTATATCCAGCTGACATGTTCTCGATCGTGAAAGATTCCAATTCTCCTGGATTAATTAATTCTATGACAAGTTTCCCACTAGTACCACCATCCATTCCTGCGTAAGTAAATAAAACCATATATCAGTCAATGTTTACCATCCAATTTGGAATGTTGGTTTTTTTCCTTGTTGTTGTCGTTGTTTCTTGCATTAAAAACTGGTTTGCATGAGGTTGAAGTGAGTTCCCGTTTTGTTTTTTTAATTTTTATACCTAACAGAAAGTGGTAAACAGTTAATCACACCATAGGATGCGATAAAAAAATCTTAAGGCGAATGTATGCCTACTTATTCAATTGATGAACAAGAGATTATGAATTAATTACTCTATCAAGCTACTACTTTCACAAAATCTCTTAATAACAATTTACATAAATACCAAACGGCTTAAATTTAATTTCAATGAAATCTTGAGTCGATTGCATTTAAACAACCATTGAAAACTTGGAAGCACTGGACGGCCGTTTGGTTTTAGTATGAGACTAATTGTACTAATTCCTTATTATTGTTAAATGAGTTACTATGTTACATCTCAGCCTTATATCGATGATATTAATGTAGATTAATGTACTTAAAGTGTGAAAGCGATTTATCATCAGGTGATAAAGTAAAATGTTCAATAGATAACAAACGCTTGATTCACAGATGTATATCTTATGCTTACGGTTGTTATCACTGATGTTGAATGTTCGACACCTTTAAATGTTAGGTTTGTTTGAATTATTCACTGTTTTTATTGCAATGATTTTAAATTGTCAAATGTGCTTGATCATATAATACTGACATTGTGAATTTGAAAACTCATAATGCATATTATAAAGTTTGTGATAACTAACCAATGCACGTTTCTACTCGATCTTATGTTATCTGTAAATAAAACTCAAACGACTTTTAGGGATAATATTTCTTATGAGATTTATTCCACATGCTTTTTTTTAAAATTCCGCAATTGTATTTACATAATAACACTTTAGTAATAGCTACGAACACATTTCAATCGATCTACTGCTTCAGTAATCATGATCGGTCATGTCATTTAAAATGTCTTTCACTGTAGATCCTTTCATATCTCACAGATTAAAACTTTCGATGATTCTGAGTTGTTTATTCACACTCATTCTGTTGTGACCTTTTGTAATTTATATCCGGTTCACAACGAATAGTCATGAATTATTTTTAAACATTGTATAATCGTTGAGAAAATGTGAAATTTCTTCATTCTTTCTATCTTACATGTTAATAACAGTAATAAGACATCTACTGTAATGAAAATTTATTTAATCTTGTGGTACACACTAATGGCTCTTGAGATTAAGCTATATCTATACTGATGATTTTGAACTGATATTAAGTCTTTTAGAATCCAAGTGATATATGTGGATAATATACTACATAAAATTCCATAAAGGTTTAAAAATCAAGTAAGAAATCAAATGCAAGAATGCTGTGCTGTCATAAGAATGAAAATACAGTTAGTTCTTTGATTTTTTTAGAAGTCTAGTACCTTTCTTATTATTTTAAATATTTATAAATTGTATTCTTTCTATGTTTATAAATTTTAAGCATCTTACTAACTAAATATTGTCAGGGCTTACTCAAATCTTAATAAAGTACAAATTAACCTCAGTCTTCAATCTGATTGGTTTGTCGGTTTAGTTTTCCGCTTCTTGAATCAGTAAATATATATAATTTACTTGTCAGAAAAATAATAATAATCTTTTCTAAAGGTCTATTGTGAAATGTTTCACACTAGACAGGAAACGTTCAATTAAGGTCTAGATTAAACCAAGTTCAGTATTTATTTTCCGATTTTATTTTTCACTTTTCACTGTCTTAATATATTTTTTTTTCTCCACTAATTTTCAACCACGTTTTGTCCGATTTCATTTTAGGCGTCGTTGATAAGTCACATCACTCAAACAATGTTATCAGAATCCATTAATTGCAATTATTTATTCTTAAAATCAATATTACATTTTCTTCTTCTAATAATAATATTATATTGTGAAAAACAATTTCAGTTGGTGACGATTTAAGTCAAGCAATTATACATTTCAATGTGTTACATCAGTTAACTTACATGCGAACCTCCATGCACATGGACACACGCAATATATATATATATATATATATATATATATATATATATATATATAAAGCTTGATTAACAACCAAGCTGTTTTGATGCATAATAACCAATATTGTTGTATACTTCAAAAATTATTCTTATTGTTGTAATCAATCTCATTCAACATTATCATCATCATCATATTCCTTACCGTCTTCAACTTTATCCTTCAAAGCATATATTTACACAGTAGTATACGGTTACTATTGATCTTTTATTTAAAATTCTGTTTGTAATTATATTACAGTTGTTATTCCTTTCTCACTATTATCATTACCTAAAACCATACTACATTTATTACCAATTTATGGTAATGTTAAATGATAAGTATGATATTACTTATGATTGGTTTGGAAAATATTATTATTCATTCCTTGTTCTTTGTGTTTTCATTTATTCGTTTATTAATTGAAATATGTTGTGATGGAGGATTACTATTTATTTTGTAGATATTTCCTTCATTTTGTCTTAAGTTAATTATTTACTGGGTTTTTTTTATATATATTGACTGGGATATTGTTTAATCATAAGGTCGTATAACTTATATTTTAGCAGAGATTATTAGAAATCAAATTGTCTTTTAAATAATGGATATACATATATTAAAATTTATTATTTGCTTTCAGAGAACTATGTATATAGTTTGTCCACAAAAAAGAAATGCAAATTAAGATATTTACGTTATTAATTATGAATTTAGGCAATTTTGTTTCTGCAAGTAGGAAACTTCATTTGTAAATTAGTCTCATGCTACTATTTTTTGATGGTATCGAATACAATGGATCCTTTTCCAGGAAAGCAAACTAGGAATGTTGTCTTGTACTGTTGTTGCTATCTTGACGTGGTGGTCGGGCTTGCCTATCGTGATGAAGCAACCGAGGTATACTGGCTGTAACAACCGTTCCTCAAGGTTCTACCATGTCAGACAGGTCGGTTGAAGAGCGGTAGGACTACAAGCAGCAACTCAAGGTCCGAAGGCGAAGTCGTACTGCTGACTGTAGAGGGGTGTGACAGAAGTAAGGTGTTTCCTTCAGACAACCATCATGACAGCGATGCTGCCTTCCCACAAGAAGGGATGAAGTTAGAAAAAGTCGACCCTAAAAATGCACACCTCGCCTTATCCCAAGGAAATCCGTATCCGGCTGTAAGGTCTCAACAAGTACGGAGCTAACACAAAAATTACTTATAGAAAGGTCGTGTGTGACCGACCTCAAGCAGTTGTCCCTTAGACACTGCGGTCACGCTCTCGGGTCACTAAGACCACCTCTAATCCAATTTCCTTTTCAGGTACCCGCAGAAGAACCCTTCCACTGTGTGGGCAACTGGGAAGTGATAACCGCCCTCATCTTTGACAACACTCAAGACCACTGTATTCATAATCAATCTCCTCTTTCCAACCTTGTATCTAAGTTTCTCATCACCAAATATCAAATTGAAATTTCGTCTTATTCATCGAATTCCAAAGGTGATGCGTAAGTAACTAAGATGTTATGGAGACGATAATACGTGAAATTAGTAAGGATTTGTGGATGTGACTGAGTATATTTTGGACAGTTTCAATATAAACGAGGCAAGTGTATTATCACAAATGTGAATTGGTTCGAAATGAATAAGATTAATGTACCTTTAATTTTGTAACACAATGTCCCTATAACGTGAACTCTCGTATTAACTGGAATGTTTCAACGTAAAGTGTAACTGCAATTCTAGTGAAGTAAAAGATAAATCACTATAGGATTGACCAAATTAATGAATTTTGTGTTATGACGGAGTATATACTGAGTGTTTAAAATATAATAATCGAGGCTTGACTGCATTGTCTTTCCATTGAACTCAAGACTAAAGGAAAGAAGGTGGTCATTGACGGATTAATGTAAGTCAAAATTATCTCGTCAGCGCTTAGGGTTAATCGTACTAGCCTAATGGGTCTCATTGTCAGAGTTTAATAATTAGTTAATAGGCTACAAAAAACCAGCTTTTCATCTCACTCTGGTCAGTTTTTATTTACAAAAGGAATTTTTCTAAATTAAATGGAAACGCTAAGTTTAAAAGTCGAACATTCAACTACACATTGGATGTAATGAAAAAATAGCATGTTACCTTGGAGAAAATCCGTCTTTATTTGTTTGTAACTGCTCAGGTTGAGTGAGTGAACCACCAAAACTGTTAATGGTTATGTTTATAACATATCCATAATTTATATTATCTCTTTATTTTGTAAGTTAAACATATTAACAATCCACTCATAAGTTCTTTAACATACAGCCTTCCCGTTGATGATTAATTGTCATTCGTTTTTGAAAAGAAACCATGTTAAGACTAATGTGCTTGTGGGTATCAAACAAACCGAAATAAAACACGATTCGGTTTCAAAGTTATTGAAAACGAGAAAATAATAAACAGTCGTTTCGTTCTTGTTTATTATATTTTATAGAATTTATTGTTTGAAATTGATGATGATGATGAAATTGATGATCTTATATTACAATTCTTAACATATACAAACAACAAAATAAAAATTAATCGGATTAATTGTGATCGGAAACTTCGGTTTTCTTTATTAAATTGAAATTAATGATTCTCTACTAATTTCAATATTTGAAATCATGAGTCATTTGAAGCTAGACCACTATGGAAAGCCTAGAAGCACAGGACGGCCGTTTCGTCCTAGTATGGGAGTCCTCAGCAGTGGTTGAAGTTAGACATTAACACCGTTGGATGTCGGCTCACTGGTCTAATGGTTAAGCGCTTGTGCGCGAGGTTGATAGGTCGTGGGTTCGAATCTTACGAGACAGATTCGTGGATGCACACTGCAGAGGAGTAATACTAGGACAAAACGGCCGTCATGTGCTTCCAGGTTTTCCATGGTGGTCTAGCTTCAATTGACTCATGATTTCAACTATTGAAATTACTAAAATCTTTACAAAGTCCCTTCTGATTCTCTAATAAACAATAAAAATATGGTTTTCTTTATAATAAACATTATTTATGAAAAAAATATCAATTGATTGACCACAGGGTGATGATCAATGTCATGTGTGTCAAGTCCTTATTAGTGCAGATAGAATGCTATCGACCATGTTGCAATGTGGCCATCAGTCTAGGTGACTCGACACTGCGTGCACTATGTTGGTATTAGATGGTGGCTGGAGGTAGTCGACCGGAAACCCTGGACTCGGGTTTTGTGCTACTGGTGCTAGACTGGTGGCCACATTGCAACATGGTCGATAGCATTCGACCTGCACTAATAAGGACTAGACACACATGACATTGATCACCACTAAGTGATCAATCAATTGTGATTACATCTCAGTCCTACAGTAGGTCGGGTGTGGTTCGGATAGCTCAGTGGTAACGTCTCTGTGAAGCTGTGTGACACGGGATGAAATCCGTCGGGGGGCACCAGTTCCCTCAAGATTACAGGCACACTTTCCTGACTAGTGCAAAGTAGCACGAAACCCGTGTCCAGGATTTCCTGTCGACTACCTCCAACCACCATCTAATATGACAATATCAGTAATATTCTTCACTTAATTTCGAGTAGCGTTATTTTGGCATAAAAATTTCTCCATTTCAAAATCATTACACGTTTTATGCTAAAATTATTGTTAGGAATGAACACATATGTTTACGTAGTAGTTAGTTATCTTCAATGTAGAAAGATTGCATTGGAACATTCGAACCGTTTGATGCCGAATTAATTGTTTTGGGTTTTAAATGTTTACTGAAAGACTAGGAGTTATTCTGATTGGCTAACTGCGGTGAGGGATCTCAAGTTTACTCAACCGGTCGCTCAGGTTCATCCGTATTGTTAAACCTAGTTATCATTGACATTCTCAATAATATACTCTAGAGTGATTACGAAATCCTAAGGAATAAAACTCCCAACAGACAGGACACAATGACAATATAACTACAAATATTCCTGTAATTTAAAAGCATAACTCAGAAATTTAATTATGATTACTTACAATACATATCAGTTAAAGAATGTAAGAACATGCGTACTGCAGGAAAAATCCGTCATATTATGAGACAATTCCTCGTAAAAATATGTTTTAAGCTTTATCAATCAAGAAGTATGTATGTATGTATAGTGCTTTTATGATATTTGAATTTTGTCAGAATAACTGTTAAGTCCATAAAAAATCTCATTTACAAGTATCCGTCTCTGCTTAAGAGATTTCATATGATTAAGAATGGGTTTTTCAACTATCCTGTATAACTTCCGCATTTTCAGTGTGTACTCCCTCATTGATTCTATGAAAATTTCAAATGAAACAAATTAACGGTGTTCAAACTATTGTATTGTAATTATTTTAATCCAGTTGCGGTAGTTACTTATATTTACATTACTCAGTGTATTATAAATAGCTGTTTTTGTCCGAGTTAAAATTTTGAAGCAAACGGGAACGCATTGATCCCGATTGATTTCATTCTCCAATACACATTAGTTTACATTCAGTTGACTTCCATATTAGCTAAGTGTGATTTATATTCATCTGATTAATGAATCGATTCATTGTAATTTACACTTAACATTAAACTAATTTGCATTCATTAATCCAATGTGATTTCCTGTTCACTTGACTTTTGTTCAATATGGTATTCAATAATATCAACTTCATGTGAAAGTTAATTATTTTGACATATTCTTTAACTAATAATCAATGAAGATGTTAGGGATGCTAGACCCCCAGAAACCACTTAGTAAACGTCTTATTTTTGTAATTTTATTTTGGAAAATTAAATCTCTCGTTTTCGCGCAGAAAGCGGTCATTTTTATTTTTATGTTGTATTTCCCACTTGAAAGGACCCTAAATGTCATTGGTTGGTTTGCTCCTTTAATATGACATTTTGTGACATTTCCCGAATCCGTTTTTATACTGTTTATATACACTTAAGTTGTGTGCTTGTTGTTCACGTGTCTGACTGCCTGTGGAATATACTTTCGCTCATCTGAACCTGGACTTCTCCCTCTACTTAGCAGGGCTGGGATGAACTGAAATAGTTTAACTGTTTTGTAGG